GGGGGGTATTTTTCCCCCCGTGTTTCAGTGAGAGTTTTACTGACTTGCAACACAAATAGGTCACATAGATTCTAAGTGTCGAAGATTTTGGGCTGTTTATTTTGTTGTTATTGTTGTTTTATTGAGAATTTTACAGCACTTACAACACAATTAGGTCATTCAAATGCCACAGAATTAGAGGTGTTTCTAGATAGTAAAATACAAATAAAAGGACGAAGGTCCAGATCTATAACATCTTTGATAGGAAAAAATGACCAAACAATACCTACAAGGCACCTGCTAACCATCCCACACCGCAGACACAAGTTTAGGACTCTTATTGGTCTTCATGAATACATTTTTAATTTTTAATAAGAGTTTTACAGCACTTGTAACACAGTACAGTTATATAAATACCGCAAGATTAGAGGTGATGCAAAAGAGTAGCAAATACAAAAAAGGAGACAGAGAGATGTTTAATCTTCAAACTTCCCACGATCTTTATGAATGGAAAATATATTAGACTACACTTATCAGTAGGGTGAGCGGTATGAAAGTATTGGTTACGGTACATATTATGAGTTACATTTAAAAAAAGCCCACGCCCCTCCCCATATACATGAAAAAAAATTTAAAAATCAAAAGCCCACAAAAACAAATTAGAAAAAGAATATAATAGTAACGAATTATTAATAAAACAAAACCTCACCAGTTGATATTGGATAAAGACACTACATACCAACCCGAGGGGCCCAAAAACTACTTACCCCAAACAATAAAATAAAACTCCCTCTCCCAAGAAAAGAACAACACCAACACCATCACCACCAACAAATGGAAGCAACAACAACAATAACAACAACAAAAACAACAACAACAACAACAACAACGGCAACATCAATACCACCAAACTCAATAACACCATCAACAACAAACAGCAGCAGCAACAACAACAACAACACCAACAATAACACCACCATAAACAACAACAACACCACCAACAACAACAAACAACAGCAGCAACAGCAACACGAACAACAACAACAACACCAAAAATAACACCACCACAAAAAACAAACACCACCAACACCACGACTACAATCAACCTCAACAACACCAACAATAACACCAACACCACCATCACTTATACCATCACTTATACCACCACCACCATCACTACAACCAACCTCAACAACAACAACAATATCACCAGCACCATCACTACTTATACCACCACCACCACCACCACCACCAACAACAACAACAACAACAACACTACCACCAC